TGCAGGCTGGTGCGGTGGACTCTGGAGGGGCGCGGGGACTCACATGAAACGAAACCAAACGACAGAAAAACCAAGAGAAAACAAGCTACAAAAGTCGCTAAGCGGAGCACTTCCAGGACGAGGAGGCGACAATAAAGACCGTTTTTGTGCAGTTCTTAGTTGACTTAGCGCCAATGTAAAACGAACAAAGAGTTTTAATGTAAGCTTTCAATGTAGTAAATAAGTACGCGAAGTACAACGTCGAACTCGCTGTAGTAAAACTAGTGACTTCATAATTCTCAGCATCCGTCGCATCATCGCGCATCGCTGTCTGCTCCGTGACCGTTCTGTTCGCCGAGATAGACTCAGACTGGAGAGTGTTCAGTTGCTTTGCAAGTGCGTGATTGGTACCCTGAAGGTTGGCCTTCTGCTTTAGTTAGAGCTCCAGACTGTTCATTTCTTAGGTTCATTTCTTGGGTTCAAATGAATTACTTTGCGCCTTAATTCAAATATCGAGCTCTCAACTCATCCAAGCGAGCAATATCATCATCGATCGTCGCATGCACCTCATCCAGCATCGTCTTGAGCAGCACAACCACGCTGCCACCAGTTTGGTGCTTTTCGTGGGGGTTAAAGGAGTGTGGGGTTTGCACCAACAAGGTTTGCTATGTACAATGTGAGTAAGGAAGTTCAAGTCAAGTACTTACCAGAAAGATTCACATGATCGTTGGTGTTCAAACAAATCACCGTCAACACTATTAATCTTCTGTTCTTAAACGCTTTAGCTGGCGCCGGCGGCTTCGACACAGTGGAGTTTCCAAGCGTCGCACTGGGACCTGGCATCCCTGGCTCTTCATCTGGGGATTCCAGTGGCGCAACTGTCGTAGAGGCTGTTGTGCTTGTGGTGTCTAGGAAACCAAACATCCCACCTTCTTCTATTACAGTAGGATTTCCATAGAACCGCTCTAGCTCATCAATAGCTGAGTGCAGGACAGAGGCGGCATCCTTGTCATCCTCGAGTTTGCGTGGGAGTTAGAATGTAAGGGTGTTGGTGATGTGGGTGGTTGTGACTGGTCGTATGAGTGGTGCCGAAGACGAACTATCAATCTCATTGGCCTTAGAATTCAAGAAACTTTGATCCCAATGAGTTGAGAGCGTCTACTGTATCACGAAGAACTAGAATAACCTCAAGGTTTCGCTATCTAACTATTACCAAGAAGACCTCGAACAGTAAATGGGTCTGCTAGTGTTGTAGACCACAGTGGCGTTGGAGACTAAGACTACATGTTGATTGGCTCATTCATAATTGATATCTCCTTCTTCTTCCACCATGGTAGCACCCAACGACTCTAATTCTCCCTGTAATTCCGCAACATCGTTGTGCTTTCCTTCGATCTTTGCGGGAAAAAAAGCAGCCAATCCCTCGCTGAGTTCCAATTTCCCTGCTGTGGTGTCATACGAATGTTGGAGAAGTGTGCTAGAATTCATCAAGCTTCCCCCATCTTGATGCCATTGCCCTTGTCTTTCAAGGGAACACAGGGGCAAAAAGTGCCAAGATGCTGAGAGAGATGAATGAAAGCCGACCATAAAAATGGGTTTTCTCGGTCAGAGCGAGGGCTGCCTGTTGTTGTTCCTCAACACATTTGTCGTGGGTTAGTTGCTCTTGTTTCTTCTGCTTCTTCATCTCGACAACGCGTTCGTCGAGCTTACCCACGATCAAGCTCATAGCGAAAGCAAGATCAGTGTTTTGGTCCTGTTCGGGTGACTGGGACTGCATTTGCTTCTGCAACAAAAACTGAAGGCCAGCATGAGCGTTCTTGATCCTGGAAGAAGTCATTGTAGAAGCTGTTGCTGTTCTTCTTGCACGTTGTCGAGCTGTTGATGGTACAATTTTTGCGCTACTCGAACTCGAAGATGAACTTTTCAACCTGACGCCAGAACCATGACGGCTTTTGTTCTTCTTCTCCAATTTCGATTGCAACGTGGACGCGTCATCGGAGAACATCATTCGCCCTGCGTTTCGCATCTGCGCTTTGAAATCTTCGCGTTTTGTGGTACTGCTGGTGGTCTTCATGTAGTTGTTCGTACTGTCCTTCATTAGAGGCGCTTTGGTGCCCTGTACTTATAATCGATCATCCATCGCTATGTATTGGGAATTCTTCAACAAGAGTATCCCTTGTATCTCTAGCGCCTGAAAAGTAGTTCCTCGAAGTAGATTCCTTTCGAGCCCCTACTAGGAACACCAGCTACTAGAGAAGATGGATTATAGCTGTCGATGTCTTAACTTCACAGCTTTCTGTCCTCGAATCAAAGTACCCAAAGCTCCACCTGATACGTCCGACGCGTGGGTCATGATGCTCTTCTCCATGTCAGCTTTGTGTTGTTTGTTCATGTTCTTGCCCAATTCGCCATCGATCATGTCCTTGGCACGGTCCTCAACTGCACTTCTAAAACGAGAAGGGATCTTGTTAACGACTGTAGACGTAGCTCTTTTAGTTCCAGCTGTGCCAGTAGAAGAACCTCTAGTTGTTGTAAGACCCCGTCCTCTATTCCCAGCTAACTCCTTCATCTCAGCATTGCGGAGACGCAGATCCACTTGTCCTTCGTTCTCAGAAGTACTATCAGCACTCGTCGAGCCAGTAGTTCCTTCGGTATTCCCACCTGCCATTAGAGCCTGCTCAAATTCATCTTGCAAGACAGCAATCATGGCGTTCTCACTTTCGTTCCCTATCTATCAAGAAGGCCTCAAACAAAGATGGCTCTTCTCAAGGAATGCATGTTGAAGTGTAGTTTATACCCCTATACCCAGTTGTTGTCTTGACAAGTTCTCATATCGCTCGTACTTTTTCAAGGAAGATGAATTTGGGCAAGCCTTAATGCCAATCGTTGCAATGTAGTGTCCAAAGCAGCCAGCTCCTCTGCTCGGGCGCTGTCTCGCTCAGCGAATTCGTCGTTTTCTTTGGCACAACTTTGCTCCAGCTCAAACAAGGTTTTTTTCGCCTCTTCCAGCACGTTGCCTGCTTTGGCTAACTGATTTTCAATCTTGGATAGCTCCAAGGAGTTGACACTCTGCGAGCTGCGCTTCTCAGGTGTTAGAGGGGTCGCATCGCTGAGGAAGGAAATGTCCTGGTCTTCTACAACAAAGAACCTCTACTATCGATGAGAAAGGAAAATTAGGCTGTCTGCAGTTACTCAGATCACGGTTTCCAGTGGTTGTAGTGGGTAAGGGTCCTCGTCGTGGTTGATCATAAAAAAGTAGATCTCATGACATTACTTCGCATTAATTAATAAGATTATAACATCACACTACAGCACTGTGACTAGTACACCTACAACCCTGAATCACCACAATCCTCTATAGCGTAAACTCAATTGCGAGTCCAATGCTGATACTGCCTCTGTTTTCTTCGTGCGCAAAACAGCATACTCAGTATTGGATTTGGTGAGCGCAGTCCGTGTCTCCTCCAGTTGCTTTTCGAAGGTTTCGCGCATTGTACTCAAGATGCCGAAAACTCTGTCCGCACCCGCATCGTTGTAACCTGTGCCCTTATGCTGGGACGTAGAAGAAGTGGAAGCAGTCGCAATAGAACTTGTGCTGGCCAAGAAAGAGGGTAGTGGTTTTTTGTCGTGGCTCGAGGTCCGAAGACGGGATTAGAGCCACAAGATTGGGAGGGATATACAGCGATCCGCATTCTTAGCCAAAGTCATCAGTAAACATCCCACAGTCACCAGTACGAAATCATCAGGACTCAAAAGTTCTATCCAAGAAGGGAACTTTGACTTTCAACGACCACCTACTAAATTCCCAGAGTACATATCAGCAGTCCTCTTCCATAACTTCCATCCCCCGACAACTTTCTCTGCACTTCTTCTACCAAAGACGAATCAAAGCTCAAGCCTGCCTTCTGCAAGAACAGCAGTACTGCACTTCCCGCAGAAGCAGCACCAGCAGTATGTTTCTCCAAAACCGTCAATGCTCCCTTCAACGCTGTGATCGATTCGACTAGTTCCTTCTCGGTTTTCATCAGCTCTGCACGCTCCTTCTCGAATACTTCAGACAATTCTTTCAGGCGTGCTTGCTGTGTGTCTTGATCAGCCTCGAAGTTGGAGATCTCCAGAGCGAGCGTAGCCAACGTTCCGGTTATACCATCACGTTTGTTCAGGAGAGATTAGCGAAGTGTCAAGTCGTTGGAATATTAATTGGAATGTGCAGAGCTTCAGAAGATCGCATCTCCAAATACGCCTATTTGCCTGAATCAGTTAGAAGACTTCCTCATAAAGTTCTTCCTCATCGCTGTTTTCGACTTGCCACTGTGCTTCCTTTTTTGACACCTCACAGTAGTGGCGCATTCGTTCGATGAAGTCTAGGTCAGCAGAAGCATCTCTCTCCACATCGGAGCGGACTGCATGTATTAGACCATAACAAATATAAAAAAATCCATCAGAAAGTGAGTAGTAGCGCATCCTGGAACTCTTTCCCCGCTTCAAAACGAGGCCAAGATGTGGGAAAAGATGGACAACATATCCAAGCCTTAACTGTAAGAGGCTGATCACATTATTGACCGGTGATGTGCTGGGATCGTTATCCACCAGAGTTGGGTCAACGGGTTCCTGTTTCTTCTCACTCGTTGTTTTCTCCTTCTTGTGAGCCGATTTTTCCTGTTGTTGACCCCGTTGCAAGAATTTCAGTCCAAAAGTAGACTGCGAGGTGGCTTTTTCCTTCAGGCCGTCCACGTCTGCGATCTTGTATTTCTTCGCGACTTTGTCCTCCCATTAGAGCTACCGCGTCGCATCCCTGACCCCATCCCTGTGCCCTTTTCTCCCTTGAAAAAGGGGCCAGGGATGGTGCTGAGGATGCTCCAGCGGTTGCCTTAATCCCAGATTTTACGTTGATGCTTGATTTCCTGCTTGAAATCCAGATTCATCACTTCATCCTCTGCGGCATCAAGAGCGTCGTATGTGCTTCTCTTGTTCTCCTTTTCTTGCTGCTTTGGAGGTGTAGTAGTGCGTAGGTCCTTATGCTATTCCCGTCTATCGAGCAAACAGCCACCAAGTAACATTATGACTAGTAGGATTATCACAGACTAGAAGCTCTAGTAGTACTATCAGCCTTAACTTCAACACAACTGCTTTCCCTTCTCGCGGGACAACAGCAGCCTTTTTTTGCACCAAAGCTGCGGATGTTGTGAGAGCAGCTGATTGCTGCTCTACCATAGCCAAGGCGTTCTTCAGGCTCGATAACAGCGAGTCACGCTTCGCAGCTCGGGCTTCGTAGTCCTCGGCGACGTTGTATTAGAGAGTGAGGGGCTAAGGTCTAAAGGATGAAGATCAATTTTTGAGAAAAAGACTAGAGAAAGAAGACCACAACTTTTTACAGATAGAATCTAGAGAAATTCAGAGAAAGATTAAGATTGGGTTGCTTGAAGGGATAGTTCACATTTTCGTCCGTACTTACACATCCGAGTGCTGTTCGCGAGTTTTTTTTTCGCTGCTTCGGTCTTCTGGCTTGCCCAAGGTTCGTGGTGGAGCTCGTTGGTGAAAAGTAGACTTCCCTTGCCCCACATGGTTTCGTTCTGCACTGTGAATTCCTCTTGCAGACCAGACAGAGCAGCAAGGGAATCAGTAGCGATTGTGGAATGAAGGGGAGTGGGAATATCCGATGACGCTGTCATGGTCGCTGGTGGTTGGGAAGAAGGAAAGGGACCTCATTTAATGTGCTGCACGGAGAACGGAGAAGTAATGAGTAGTACTCATTCAATGTACTAGGTTGTAACACTGTAACACTAGACAATCAAAAAGAAAAGTAGACACAACTGGAGGCCCTTGGCTCTCAAAAGTTTTCAAGATTAGTCCTCATACTTTCATCATAATTGTAATATTCCTCTTGCTTTTCGGTCATTTCGGCTTCGGTTTCGGACACAGTTTTTTCCAAGTCCTCAGATACCACGTCTAACATAGCAATAGCACCTTGGATGGCTTTGTTATTGATAAATTCCGGACCCTCCAATTGCAGCAAAGCCTCTTCCACGATGGGGATGGCCTCTAGGGCTTCCGCAACGGTAGTGGAATCCATGTTTTGCCCGGTCACGAAAGTTACATTGCGTTCCGCGATCTCGCGCTTGGTTTCTGGAATCTTAGAATCATTTATTACGCGTCTACAACAGCCAAGTCTAAACTGCTAATGCATCTACTTCTAGACCAAGTGGACCCTACGCTAACAAATTATAAGCCTTGGTCATCTAGACTAGTACAACAAGCATCAGAACTACATTACAACTATCCTACACTAGTTCCTTGTTCGTCTACAATTTCATCTAGAAGTACGAGTAGACCCCACACAACAACAACAACAACAACAACGAACAGCCTTAACAATCGCTTCTGTTGCATCTTGGGTTGAGTCAGCTAGCTCCGCAACATCCGCCCTCAACTCGTCGTCCATCTTCACGTACCAGTCTAGAATCCCCTTAGCAGACTGCAAAGTCTGTTTGTCGCTGGCTAGCATGGTACTTAGAAGAGAGGAGAGGGGACGAGTGTACAATTCACAAGCCAACCCGGTGCGGACTGCCATAAGGGCAAGTAGGTTTGTGAGAAAGTCTCAGTGCGCAGTTCAGTCGAAACAAGAGGACCAGACAAGATGTTAGTCGCTCTTACCTGGCGCTGGCTTGTTTTCTCTTTATGTGAAGCAAGAGACCTCTACTGGGGAAGATGGTCCCCTGGCTCTTTTTGGAAGTAGTGTTCTTGGTTCTTGGAATGCTCTTCTTGGAACGCCACTACTTCTCGGATAAAATACTCTTACACAAGCCTTAACTTATTGCAGTACTCCTGCGCTTTCATGTCCTCTACATTCTGAGCCTTGAGGTCCGCGATCAACTCTCGCACCATGGTGACCACTCCACTCAAAGAGGCTTCAACGTAGCTAGGCTGTTTTTGTTCTTCTTGTTTCTTTGATGATATTAGAGCTCACCCTGTTCTTGGTACGTATCTTATTTCCTGAAAACAACAAAGACTTCACTAAAGGTAGAGACAAGCTGCATTAGAGTTGTAAAGTTACATTGGAATTGTTATTGAATTCACCTTAATGAGAATGTAGTTGCGGTTGTGAGAAGGGATTTGATGTTGATGTTGTTCTCCTGCTGCGGTGGATTATGGTAGTTTATTTCGGCGACACTCTTGCGACCCCCTTTGCTTTGCTTGTAGAGGCGCTTCGCTTCCTGTAGAGTCGAAAACATTCGATGCGCCCGAATGCTCGGAAAGCTAAGAACGGTTTGTTGTGCTACCGTGAACAAACTCAAGGGACTCTTCATGGCTGGTTCCACTTGAAGTGGTGCATGGCTACTCCTCTTAGCACCACTTTTGTACGCCGCGGTTTGATGTCCCGTCTGCAATGCAGTGAGGGTCGGAGCTGCGCCAGCACTGAGATTAGAATGATCAGACTCGAGTACGATCAAGTGCATATTTAGACTGTAATAGGTTTCGAGTTCTATCATCTCACCATAATCTTGAATACGTCTATTGCCGCTTGACAGGCAGAGGCTTGAGCACGTAGTTCTTTATCGAGGATCGTGAATTCTTCCTCGTTTTTCTCCCGTTCTTGCTGCAGAGAGGTGATGAGTTCCTCGCTGCTCGTCTGCATGGCTGAGGCCGTCTGCTTCTCCTCTTTTGCTGCCTCGATTTTGGCAGCAAGTTCCGTAGCTTAGAATCATCAGTGTCATTCGAGAACATCTAATAAACAATCATGCTTACTTTTCAGCCCTTATGTATCTTTAAAATCGGGTTATGTTTCGCCAAGACTTCACCACAAGCTAGCTTATTTTTTGCCTTATTTTTGTTCTTCTTCGATTTCGTTGAGACGGTTTTCGGCGGTGTCGATTTGGGTTTCCAGAGTCTCCTTTTCTGCTGCAAAAGTAGTTTCTACAAGCTTCTCGTTCCCGTTTAGGGTCTTGAAATTAGAGAAGGCGCCAGAAGCATCAGCGCCTATTCCTCTTCTAAGTCTAAGGCCTCACGTTATGTCGTGGCACCGCTCATGTAGCTATTGCTGTCTACTTGTGAATGTAGTCATTCGTTAACTCATTGCAGAATAAACCAAGAAGACCATGGAACATCCCAACTAGTGGTCCATCAAAATCTTAACTAGCTCATCTAAAGCCTGCTGCGACAGCACCTCAATCATCGACCGCAAGTCTTGGACACCGCTGCTCGTAGAATTCCCGCCAAAAAGATTAGAGAGGAAGAAGGCGGAGTGAAATAGAGGGAAAGAGAGGTAGAGGGATGGAGAGAGAGAGAGAGAGAGAGACACACACACACACAGACAGAGCGGGATAAAGGGATTGGAAGAGAGTGAGCAACAGAGAAACAGGGAGCAGCATAGTTGCAGAGAGCAAAATAGCGAACGGCAGAAAAAGCGAAAGAAAGATTTTTTGTTCGTTCTTCCTTTAAGACATGAGATATACGATTCATTGTTCGTTCTTCCTTTAAGACATAAGGTCCATGGCATCGAAATGCTCTAGGGCAGTGCGCACAGCACTGCGAAACTTCCCGCTTTTCTCCAGAGATTCCCTGTACTCAGCATTCTCCGCTTTTCGCTCCGACTTCTTTTGCTCTAGCGTGTTCTACTTAGATGAGGTGGAACATTAGCAAGATTTATTTTTCTCTATATAAGGTCTTGAACTGTACCACGTGTTTTTTCGGTGGAACCCGTCCTCTATCATCATGTTGATGATAGTCAATCAATCTGTCAGTGATTATCCACGTTTGATTCTAATGCAATCGACACCCTTGTGGTGTCTCAAGTACTAGGTCTACTAGTCTAGCGGACAGATTATGGATGCAAGACAGTGATGATTTGAATCTATTCGGCGACCTGTTTAAGATTTCCCTCACAGATTATGGATGCAATACAATATTAAATGTATGAAAGAATACATCATATGATCAGACTAACCATGCTAGTCAGACATAACTCGCGCTTCTTTTGTCTCTGTCACCAAACGCGCCTGCTCATCGGCACGATCCGAGAGGTCTGTTTTGGCCTGCACCAAGGTTGCTTCCGCTGCGATCAGAGTAGCATTCGAGGAACCAAAAATTTTCGAAAATTAGATGAGTGAGATTCTAACCAGTAGTTCGTTGTGTAGCTTGCAGAAAAATTATGAAGGTTGTTGTGATGTCAACATGATTTTACAAGGTCCTCGTGAGTCTTATTTCGAATCTTCATCCCCTGCTTACAGTCTGACTTTATTTGTCTCTTCCTCGTCACACATGCACCGAGTCTAACAAAGTAATTACAAGATCCAAGCAGAACAGGTAGTCCTCTGTATCATTCTACAAATAGATCTTTATAACAGAGACTAAACAGAGTACTTCTATGAGAGATATTAGTACTTCTATGAGAGATATTAACAGAGTACTTCATCCAACAATAAATAATAAACAGAGTACTTCTTCTATCAGGTTCCTTAATCTTGTGCCTCGAGACTCTGTGCTAGTTCGGCGTCCGTTGTCTGAAATAGGGCAGTGCGTCCATCCAGTTGCTGGCTGGCTTCCGTGGACAGTTGCTCCAGATACCCCAATAATTTCTGGACCATACTATTCCCCGCGAGGGGAGAGGCCTTTGTTCTATGATCCTTCGTTCCATGGTCTTTTGTGGTCGCAATGAAACTATTTCCACCTCCTGAGAGACGTGTGGATCTTCCAGATGTTTTTGTAGAGCTTTTGATGGATGTCTTGGTGGACGTCTTAATAGAGTTAGATGTCTTACTAGATGTCTTGATGGATGTTTGAATAGATGTCTTGGTGGATGTCTTGTTCGCCGTTTCGATCGACGTCGTCGCAACGATCGCAAAAGCCGCGATGTAGACAGCAAGCAGCGACTTGCTACCACAGCGCAACATCTTTGTCGCAGCAATAAAACTTCTCAGCGTCATTGTCGTAGCAAGAGCACTTCTTAGCGTCACCTTCTTCTACAACGTCAGGAATTACAATTACAAGTTTTTCGAAGAGTTCGACGCGCCAGCAGTGGTGGGCGCAGAGAAAGCAAACATTTCACAACTACATTTTGCTATGTTGCTCACTTCAACAACTACCCGTGTAGGTTGAGACGGCAAATAAATGGTCGCTATAAATATTCTTCTCCTAGTATTAAGAAAGCTCTCTTCGCTCGCAGCTCCCTTTGCCTCTTGAAACCGAGTGTACAGACATAGGGATATGAAACCAATAAACTACCACTCAAGTCGATTAGATTAGATTAGATTAGATTAGGTGCCTTAGGTTAGCTTAGTGATCCACATCACATCCTTTACTTCACTTTACTTTACTGAGGAACAATGCGCATCTCCTTCTCCGTCTTGCTCTGCAATAACTTAAGGTCCCTGAGCAACAATTTAAAATCCCATATCACCTGTTCAGAGTAGTTGCACGGTATCTAGTTTGTTCTGAGCTGATGGCGCTCTAGTTTGTCATGGCACTCTAGTTTTCGTTACCATGGTCATCGACGGTCGAAATATCCATTCGAAAAAATTCATTCTTTGTGCGTTCTCGTTGATGCTGTGGTTTGATATCGTACATCGCCTGTACATGGGTATTCTCCTGCTCAATTCTCAATCAGACTAGAACAACTTGGTTTGATGAAAGCTATCAAACATGGAAGATAAACATATTTTGGATTTCTACAAAAAATTGATTGTTCCTTTTCGCTACATTTTAACGTGATGTGAAGAAAAGATGAGCTATTTTTCACGATCTTCAAGTTGCGGTTTTTGTCTAAGTACATTTTTCAGCATTAGCAAGGTGCACTATAAAGTAACTATATTTTTCGTTTGTTCACAGTGAATACATATTTTCTAGATTTTGGCCATTTTCCTAATTCGTCAAATCTTCGCTAACGACAGAACATATGTTGCCAGGAGACGTTTCACTGACTCTGTATTCTAGATACTTCACCCAGGACTTGGCACCGACAGGGATTACCATTCGTTCTCCATTCATGGTATGTCTCCTTTTGCACTTCTTGATCGCTTTCGTGAATGTCTTCACTTCTGCTTTGACAAAATTTTGCCATCGCAGATCACTAGGCTGACAATTTGGAGTCCTGCTAAATACGGTATCTAGATGTTCATACTCTTCGTCTTTGAATCTCTGAAACTTCTCTTCGTGTTGCCGTTTGTGATAGCGTAGGTTACTCAGTCGAGGATGGATGATCATATAGGCATCCATGATCTGACTGTCGCTCGTACACCTTCTGGCGCGAAGCTCTGGCTCGGCTGCCACCGACGTGCCCTCCGGTGCCTCTGATATTGGCAGAGCACTCTCACCATTGTTGACACCCTTACCTGCTCCGCTTGACGGAGATTTTCCTGCTGATTTGTCAGCTCCAGCTGATCTACCACTACCTCCTGAAGAACCACTTCCACCTGGCGTCGGATTACTTCCTGGCCCACCAACACCTCCTCCATCGCCTGCACCTCCACCTGACTCAGCATTTCTACGATCTTCTGGCTTACCACCTGGACCTTCCGACTTACCACCACCACCAGCACCTGAATTTTGAGGAGCCGCATGTTCGCCTGGTCCAGCACCTCTTCCTGGTCCAGCACCTCCTCCTGGTCCAGCGCCTCTTCCTGGTCTAGCACCTCTGCCTGGTCCAGCACCTCCTCCTGGTCCAGCGCCTCTTCCTGGTCCAGCGCCTCCTCCTGGTCCAGCACCTCCTCCTGGTCCAGCGCCTCTTCCTGATCCAGCGCCTCTTCCTGGTCCAGCACCTTCTTTTACACTCCCACCTACTGCTGCTGGTTTATCATGACCTTTTGCTTGTGTACTACGCCCCTCTGTGTCGCCACCTTCTCCCGTCCCACCCCCATTTGTTGACCTAGCATTTTCTCTTCTCTCTTCACCTGCGCCTGGCATCTTAGCCTTAGGACCTCCTGCACCACCACTTGTTTCTGGCCCATCACCTCTATCGCCTTGACGTTCTGGGAAAGGCATCCGCTGTTTGTTAGACAAATGCCAGAGGGTTAGGTGTGATCAAGATCACTTTGTGCATCAAATTAATACCAGAAAGACCCATGAGTATTTGACTTACATTGACAAGATATTTTCCGGCATGAAAAACCTTTGTTTCTCTTAGTACTTCTCACATAGTGAAACCTAGACACAAACGATTTACGAAAGTATTCAATATTAAGGTAGCTTTTGAAAAACAATGTGACTTTGCGTAAGGCTAATGACTACATCACCCAATCATAATCGTCGTTGCCTTGGGCGCTGTGTGTTGGCGATGCGTACTTGACCGCCCCTCGATGGCATATGGAGTGCCACCAGGCGGGTTGGACGGCTTAGCTATCGCAGCCCCCGCCGGACGAGTCGCGGTCCCATGTGAAGGCGGTGCTTCCGGTTCCGCAGGTGATTATTTAGAGCCTTATCAAGCAATCTACACCCAGAAGGATACCCGCTTTCATTACTTATAAATATTGGTTCTCTTCGGGTCGTATCTACATGTATCTAAGTCAAACGACTCAGTAAATTCTTGGATCCTTTTAGAGAAAATGATGAGAAGGTGGATCATGATGATGTACTCAAGTAGCGGTTGTATGAGCCGAGGTTTGCGCTGATCGATGAGCAAGATCTTCTGATTTCTCAATATCGGGTCCATATAGGCGGAGTCGTCCGTTTGTTTGCGGTCCCTTGGCGTGCAGCACAAGTCCTCTATTTTTTTGAGGGTTTCACCAAGCATGAATTTCTTCTTCTCGTCGGTGGTGGCATATTCGGGATCAACCTCGCTGAGCTTCAATTTGACCTGTTACGCATTTTTAGTGAGGCATTTATCGTTAAAACAAGCTCAGAGATGAAATTCATTTTGATGCTACACTCGTTTTAGAATTCGTCAGAACTGCGGATAAATGAGGAATCGTGTCCAAACAAGACTGAGGTTCGCACATCTACTTTGTGTGCAACCTCCTCAGCCTTGAATAATTACAATACAATGATATGATAGAACCTCTTCAGGAGAGACCTTGTGGGCGCCGTCGGTGCGATCACCCACGGCTTTTTCATGCGGATTCACTTGTCGGGTTGCCGCGCCGATCATCGACTGCAAGTCCCTCTTTCCGACAACGGTGTCTCCCTCACCTTGTTCCTTGCCCTTGATGGCTTCGTATGCATTGTAGGCAGGTTGTCCACACTTCTTGACCAGTGCTTTTACCGCTTTCCTTTTCCTGCTCCCGTCAATGCCATCATTCGCCCCCCGCAGATTGAAATTAGAATCCACCCTCACGAAAATGAGCTATGAAAATTAAACAAAACAAGCGCCAAATCACTTATGTTTGTGGTTTTGTTCCTCAGCATGTAATGAAGTGGATTATTGTTAACGAACGACCAGAAAAGCTTGTAAAAATTAATGCTCAGTGTGTCATCATGCCAAGTTTCTGGAGTGGCTATGTAATTCAGAGCAGCAGAAGATCACGGATCACGATATATGATACAGGGACGCACGGCGCCGCCCCGTTTGGATGGCCCTGCGGTGGCGCTCGCGCGCTCTTTTCCGCGCTGATTTTCGCGGGCTCTCGGGGTGGAAGGCGTCAAAACTGGGCGCGGGCGTCCCCTTGCGTCTCTCAGCAGGTTCCCTAGAGGCCTCCTGGCCTCTGCTGACCCCCGCAGGCTGGAGGCCTCCGGGGTTGAAGGCCGCCGAAGGCGGCCACGCTCTCACGAGCAAGCAGGCCGCTGACCAAAGGCCCGGAGGGTACAGGCCACCGGGCTCAGGGGGTCCAGCCTTGCGCCTTTTGCCGCCTTCCACACCCGGGCCGGGCGCACTGCTGCGGCGTCGAAGCACATAAGAGGTCTGCAGGGCACACACAGGCAGCGCCAGTTGAGATGTGGAGCGCTTCTGGCTTCCTCTGCTGCACGTTCCCGCCTTGGGTTGTTTGTGGCACGGCTCTCAGTCGGGAGCGCTTCGTAGTGACGCTAAGACGTTGCTGCGCGAGAGGTCTTGCCGCTTCTCTTCCTCATCCTCTGTTTGTTCTACGTCGTCGACGAGCAGGCCCCAATCCTTGCCGGCCTCCTTGAGCTGTGAGTTGACTTGTCGAAGGAATCCGCCGGGGCCGTCTGCAAGAATGCTAGACGGCTCCCGTGGGTTTTGCGCTGTCCTGTGGTGTATGGCAAGTCTTCTCCTTCGTTGTCTTTCTGGGATAAATAGCGAAGATGCGCCACCTCCTTGCGCTCCTCATCGTCGTCACGGAGCTGGGACTCATGGCACACAGTGGCAGTGCTGAAGCCGGTGCGAGTTTTCAGAGCTGGGCTGGCTGCATGTTTCTCGGCGCGCTTTTTGCCAAGCACCGGCCTGCCGCTGCTCTGCTGTGTGCTGTTGCTTGTCGGCGTGGTGGCTGGGGCCGTTGTGGTTCCTATTGTGCTGGTGTTGTTGTTGCCTTGCATGTGATTGGGCTGCTTCTGCGCTTCGCTTCCGTCTTGATAACAGGCGAGAACTTTTGGGGTGGACTCGTTGGGCTTTCCCTGTGCTTGTAGAGTGCCGCGATATTTCCGAAGGCGTTGGTAGCTAGTATGGCTATAGAAGCAGCTTGCCACCCTAGAACAGAGTCGCCCAGATGCTGCATCTGTGCAGCCCATCCACGCAATGTCGTCAGTGGCTGCTTACCGCTGTAGCTGTTCACGATAAGCGACGCGGGCGCTTTTCGGTGGGTGGCGGTGGTTGTTGTGGTGTTCCCAGTGCAGCTATCGCTGCCCGCCTTCGAGCTCTGCGTCGGTGGTATTAGAGGCTCTGCCTTTTCTCTCGGCTTCTCTAGTTGTCTCCGGCTTCTCTAGTTGTCTCCGGCTTCTCTGGTTGTTCTCCCCTCGTGCACTGAGTACTATTTTTCTTGATTCAACTACGGAGGCAACAGATGAGGCGCCGGGCCCCTTGCTTTCTTCTCTAGTAAGAAGCTCTTCTTTCTCTATCGTGCTCTTATTTGTGGCAACCGTTGTCACCTTTCTGGTGGAACAAGTTAGAGCCAAAGTAAATGCTTCCCGTCGCCGTATGACTGGGCTACTGCTGTGGCTGTAACCTGCAAAGAAACGAAAAAGCTGCGCACATTTTCGACTTATACGACGCGGAATGCAAGGTGGCTAACAGCTCTAGCGGAGCTTCTTAGATCAAGCTTCTCAAGGAGGCCTGTTGTATCTGATTGGCGTATAGATGCGCGGTAGATCTTGAATAATGCCTGAGATCGACGCAAACGGAAGCAGGACAAGGCATCTTTGGTATTGTTCAAAGCAAAAGCATCGACATCGCGCGGATCTTGTTGTTGTTGGTTTTGTTAAATCTAAGGCCTTGAAGATCTGAAATTTTTGCGGTATGACCTTCGTCACACCTCTAAGCCGTGACTTTTCAGGAGATTCACACTGCGACGAATCTCCAAAATTCGAGTGCTGCAAGTCGGAAGACCAGATGCAGAAGAAGTAAGAACAACAACCACAAAAGATCATTGATCACTATACATAATAAGAACCTAGACTGGCAGCGTCGAACTTGATTATCCAAAGCCAACATTTCTTACAAAAGGCCAACTTTTTCTCCAAAGCCCACCTTTTTTCCCGAGGCAAGTTTTTTTCTAAGGACCAACTTTTTTCCAAAGGCCATTTTTTTTTCCTAAGGCCAACTATTTTCCCAAGGCCGTTTTTTTTCTAATGTACATATACAATACACTACAAGCGAGACGAAGCGATAGGCTAGGAATCCGGAAAATTATATGCAGAAACCATCGAGTGAGTGGGCCATAAGGTTGAAAGATCTCTCTGCGACATTTTGGAAGCACGCAGCACAAAGCCATGGCAGCACATCACGGTCATTGCAAAATACTGCCTCATCGCCGCTTCGTGTGGCTTGGGGTTTGCTTGCTGGTTCTTTTGGTTTTTTGCGGTTCTCCTTTTTGTTGGAGCAGCTCTATGACAACTCGTACATTCACTATTGAATCACCAAAACTAACTTGATGGATGTATGGGAACTATTTATTGGCGCGATTTCCACCTACTGCTCATCCGACTGCGTAGTCAAACCATTTCCACCTACTGTTCATCCGATTCTTAACGGAGAGGTCTACCAAGGCCATCGCCCCCGGGTCTACCTTAGTTAGAGCAGGTTGCGCAATTCCATTCTTATCAGGTGGTCCACCCTGACTTGTTGTTGCGAAACAAAACAAGACTGCTGTTGTGCAATTACATAACCTCTGAGATGATCCATTATTGTTGCGAAACAAATATTCTTTTTTTTGGTGGTGAAGGATGCTGCAACTCGACAACTGCCCTTAACTTACTGTACGAGAACTGCGCTTCCTGCTGCTCTTCATCTGCTTCATCAGCCTCCTCTACTTCATCGAGGGAGAGGGTTAGATGCATTCATAAGTAAATGCATTATGTTCTCAAAGATGTTCTGTTGTTGTTCTTCAGGGATACTCATTCACTCATTCAGAGGACCTCCACGGATTGTTTTTTTCTACCTTCTTTTTGTTACCTGAGTCTACAATTCTAGCATACATATTTACTTCAACCCCGTAGCATACTTAAATATACTTCAACCCCGCGAGAATCCTGAAGCAGGACGGCCAGTCTACAATTCTCGTGTAAAAGATGTGCAGTCTACAATTCTCGTGTCAAAGATGATTGAACCATCTCTAGTCTTAACAGAGAAAACGCAGTTCGCGTCGGTCTTCGAGCGTTCCCGATGATTGGAGCGTCTTCGAACAATAGATGAATGCTCAAAGCCACCGCCCACGGGCTTCGAGTAAGATGCTTCGAGATTGTGTTCCCCATTTTTTCTCGTTCTAGTTTTTGTTTTTCTGTCTCTGTGTGATGTAGCACACACTAGAGATAGAAGTAGAAACAACAACAATTTTTCTTTTTCATCTTTGGTGCTGTGTAACACATACTAGAAGTATAGAAACAACAATTTTCCTTTATTTCATCTTTGGTGCTGTGTAACACATACTAGAAGTAGAAAAAAACAAGATCTGGTAGAAATCAATTTTGATGACACTAGAAGCAGAAAAAAACAAGATAGCCACACCCTAGGAGTATAGAAACAATAACAACAAGATGGTGAAGATGATGACGATGGTGGTGACGATGGATAGCAAGATGAAAGAAAAAGAAAATTATCAGAGCAATGTTTTGTGGAGCTGTTCTAGTACTACTATGACCAAAGATACTGATAGGATAGGATAGGAGTTGACTCACCTGTGAAGGGGTAAGCGTCAAGGATACTCGTGATGTCAAAAGATACTGATGTCCTCAAAAGGTACTGAGATACTAAAAAAAAAGATACAGTACTGTGTTAAAAGATACTGATTTAGTACTAAAAAGATGATAGTGACGCGTTGAAATTGTCTAACGAAACCGAATTTCAACAACCAATCCAAGCAGATTTATAACTACCAGATCTCCAACAACAACTAGCAAGCGTTTTGAAAGAGACCATCTCTCATGCACTACGATACAAAAGATTGGGAGAAAGAGATGACTGGCATAAGGAGGTCTCGGGAGAGAGATGGGGAAAGCAGAAGGAGGTCTTGGGAGAAAGATTGGGCTTAGAGTTCTATCTTCGCGTTCAGAGTTAGCGTGGGGTTATGGGCGGGTCGGCTTAGGTCTTAGGCCCTGGGCAAGAGAGGCTCCCTCTTTCTCTCTCTCTTATGCATTACGATGGATATGAGGCCAATTTTCGATTTTTTGGATTATTGCCGAAATATCCTACCCCTAAGCTCTTTTAACTTTTTGCTGCTTTTTTCCCTGCGACCACGTCATACATTTTTTAGAACCGATTCCTTTCCCACTTAATGGAGGACACATTACTGGTCATAGAAGGGATTCATCCGAAGTCGATTGTAATAGAACACGCTATTCGTCAGGAGCAGAGAGTCGTCGTGCCACATCCTTCAATTACATATTCATAATGCCAAAAGAGTGTGCAAAGAAATTTCTTGCTGTTCTTCATATCGGTATCGAAGCTTTAGTTCTTAGTACTAAATCAAATGGATAAGTACATGAAGATGATTGTCTTGTAAATTCAGTATCTTCTGCCCTACTGAAACGGATCACTAAACGCTAGCGAACACAAAGATGAACATGAGCGGCAAAATGCTGTCGCAGACTGTATTAAGAATCATCGCAGACCACTGTATTGAGCTCTTAGATCTCCAAGAGAGTCCACCTCTAACGTCTTTTTAAATGCTCAGACTGCGGAGGCCTAGAAGATTCCTTTCGTGCTCAGACTTGTTGAGATTCTCAGAGTCTTATGCTTCTAGAGTCTTATGCTTCTAGAGTCTTATGCTCTTGCAGTCTTGGACAGAAGAAATGGAGAACATGATGAAATCGAAAGTCAGAGAGTGGGAAACTTCTGAAAGCCACAACATTCAATAACATACATCGTCGTCGACTAGTGGAGGTCCTGCTCCTCGTTGAGCAACATCGACTAGTGAAGGTCTTGCTCCGACCACATATTCCAGTCCTCCTTTGTAATATACAACCTGCGAACTACACCTACAATTCAATACAAGAACTAGGAACTAGGAACTAGGAGGGGTCGGGGGTTCCTCAGAAGGCTAGGTCTATTCAGCTCTCCATTTTAGATGTGACGTCACCCCTCATTTACATGTGAGGAGCCGCTAATTTCATGCACTCCTAGATTCGATGTGAGCAATAAAAACCCCTTCTAATTTCAATGTTGATCCTCTCTCTTGTGGAGTAGGTCTGTACCTCAATTCTAAGACTTAGTCTGTTCCTCCATTCATCTAAGAATAAGTAAGTTAATTTCGATACGATCACAATTACCTAGTAAGAGTGCGTCACACGATGACAAATGTTCACTGCTGATAGTGAGGGCTACGCTGATTTTGAGCTGACTTTAATACTCTGAGCAGCTTGCTTTCGCAGCTTGCCTTAGTGTTACTCTGGACCACGATTCTACCTTTCATCGCTTGTTACCTGCTTCGTAAGAGTTCATACTTTTCTAGGATCTTCAGCTGATGTTTGCTAGAATAAATGCTTTTGCTTCTTTGGTGTACATCCAAATTATGACTTAATATTCTACGACCCTAAACCCAACCCTAGCCCTAGGCCCTGAACAAGTACATGGGATAAAATTTTTAATGAGAACGAAAATCGCTCACCAAGACACCTGATTGCCTCTGCCGGTTTTCTCGGTCCTACAACTCCCGAGCTCGTCTCATTAGAGTTCGACACCATCAAAGTAAATGATATCAATCTTCCATCTTTTCTTTTCAACAGTATAAATTGAGTAGTTAAGAGCCAAGGGCGACCGCACTAGTACCTTGCTGCTATCTCCTTTTCAAAAGTAAAGTACTTCAGAGCCAAGGATGAGTCTATGTGTCATAGTTCGAAAAACTGAAATAACCGAGTAACTATTGAAAATAAGGGAGATACTGAAAGAAGAGGAATGTAGTTGGCGTCTGAATGTTGGTGTCTAGAATGCAGCCTTGATGATGATGATGATTGTACCTATTCTAGAGGTGTTGTCTGTGTGGCCTTGGTTAGCCCTTACACTTCATCATGTGTTTCCTTAATCTCTGTGGCTTCGTCCGTTCTTGGACAGCCTTCTCCCCTCCTGCCGCTTCCTCCTCCTTGGCTACGCTTAGAACCTACCATGTTGATTCCGTCCTGATCATTATCACACGTCTCTGGTGGATATCTTCAACCGTTGGCGAGACAAGATGGCTACAATTTCCAACTTCATGATATTGCTAGTTGATTCGGATCACTGGACCTCTCTCAAACTCCATAACAATAAGGATGAGCATCTACTTCTACTTGCCAAGTAAGCAAGCATATTTATAAGGTAGTTGCGTCTGTTCTCATTGCTGGTTCTCATTACTGGCTGTCTGTCACAACTTCTGGCCCTTCATCTACTACAATAATATGGGTGGAGCCAACAATAATATAGGAAAAGTAAAAAGAAATATGTTGTAGATAAAAGAATATGTTGTAGATACAAGACTGGTAAGCAGGAGATAAGAGCCAAGAATTACAGGCAGTAATAGATTATCATTTACTTCAAGTTTGATCACGTTGTGCTACCCATTGTACAGTTACTATTTAGATAAAAGAATATGTTGTAGATACCAGAAATGTATGTAGAAATGTTGTAGAATAATTTCCCAAGCCTTATTAACATCATGTTTCTGCCGCTCTGCTCTTCAAAAGCATGATCCTCCTGGGGACCATCCTCTTCTTCCGTAAGAATTCGCCTACGCCGACTTGTAAGCGTATAGAGATATGAAAGCGTCTACTGCTACAGGCTAGATCAGCATCACGCGTCTCTGGTGTGGTCACTCTCTACCACTGGCAAGACGAAAAAGTTCCTGGAAGGATCCCGAAGGACAATAGCAAGTGTGGTAGCCTAGTGAGGGGATGCTAACCATTCTAGTAACTATCGAAAGAGAAGGTGGATGAATGTGCGTAGCATGAGGTGGTATAAGTTGTGCTTTCAGCGTTGAAAGAGAAGGCTCTTTTCATAACACAGGCTCCACTATCACCTCATGCAGGTCTAGTCGCTGTCCGGGTCCACTCCCCAACCTGAAAAAAAGACGGCAGTCTTAGAGGACGCGATAGCCGGATTCAAGATCCTATCACGACCTAGCCTAGTCTAGGTATTAACATGTCTTGTCTTGTTGAAGAAGGAGCGCAACTTTCACTTCTAGCTTTGAACGAGAGCCTTCGTGGTCCTCTTCAGCTGTCTTGTTCAAAACAATTTATCCTTTAGCCACACTGCGGAACCCGAAAGATAATGGGAAAACTCCCGCCCCGAAGATCCTAGAGCGAATAACATGCGCCCCCGACTACATCCGCGATAGAGTTACGAGTGACCGGATTCGAAACTTCGTTTCTTCGTTTCGTAAGCACCACCCAATTAATCTATAAATGGTTACAGCCGTAATACACGTCCCCCCTCCTGGCGTGAAGGACAATCTTTTCGTCCTTCAAGGTGAAATACGTTTCGCGGACGAGACCGTTCTCCACTGCCGAATGCACAGCCTCTCCACTACCATCTTCCGCTGGCACACTATCCTTCAACTCGTCCGAGGAACCAGCGGAATTTAGAACAGTGACACTGCATTGCGACATGGGTTGAAGAAAGATTAAGTGAGAGTATATCTTTTATCACGATTATGCCGTATGGTTAATATCCATATAAGATACCGACACTACGAACCTGTGAAGGGAAGTATAAGGTTACTACGAGGACAAAACTGACCTTTGAAGATAAGAAGAGGAACCACCGGAAGTTAGAAGTCGAGTGCTGTCTTCCAGTAATGTGTCAAAAATGAACACTCTTCGAACTGTTTCTAAAGTTGAGGTTCAGAAGCTGTCTGAAATGCAAGTCCTTGCCTTACTAGCAGCGAGAATCTCTGCCGAGACCGTCTTCCCGGGACAGGCTGTATCCACCGTTCTGCGATGGCTTCGGTCTCTAGAGGTGGGCCAACAGAGGTAGGCCTCAGCAATTGGATACGGACTGCGCCTTTATGGTATCCCCAAAAAAGTTAGAAGAGTGAGCGATTTTGAGTGTGTCCCCATCTCCCAGTCAAGTCGGCGCGATCTTGCCATCTCGATACCCTGTGGTCCTGGCTTGCACTTATTCCAAAGAAAAGATCGAGCAAGCGCACCGAGACGAGAAAAGTGCTCTGAGAGAAACGGACGCAGACACAGACTTTACAATTACAAATTTTTTCGATTAGTTCGACGCACCAGCAGCGGTGGGCGCAGGGAAAGCAAACACTTCACAGACACAAAGAGAAAGCTATAGAAAGACTGAAAAGGAGCATGAAACTCAAATGAACTACAGAAAGCTAAAGCTATCATCTACTCTAGAACAGCCGCGATAACTCCTACTACGTCCAACAGACCACTAAATGTATTCGATAAAATTGACTCCTACTACGTCCGACACTAAATGTATTCATTAAAAAACTGAAATAACCGAGTAGACCAACCCTAAAATTGGTCGTTCCAATCGAGGGTGAGCTCGAGCACGCGAGGCTGCGCTGTAAGCGGCAGACTGTGGCTGTATCCTTGATCATCTTCGAAAGCCAACAACGCATCCCTGTTGCTATCTTTCGAGCTGAACCAATCTTCCATCTCAAGAAAAAACTAGTGCATCCTGGACGAGGGTGCCTCTGGACGAGGGTGTCTCTTCCCCTTGAAAGAAGATGGAATAGTCAGTGAAAAAGGTGATGTACTACTTCTCCTCTGTACGGCGGGAATGAGGAGAAGTAGTAGTACAGGTGGTTATTAACTCTGTACGTTGATTAATGTGAGGTGGTTAATTATGACCCTAGGATCCTAGGATGACTTCTTTAATAATTAATTATGACCCTTCTAGGATGACGATGACTTCTCTGTACGGGAATAATTATGATGACTGAAAAATTATGACCCTAGGATGACGATGACTTCTCTGAAGATGGATTATTAATGGCCCTAATATCGGTCACTCCGAAGTAGGTGACGTTGGCTAGAGAACTGTTAGCCCTTCTGATATGCTCGTGTATTGGATCATCCCACGCGTTGCGACCCAGATAAAGCTTCTCGCGTCGGAATATCACGTCGTTGCTCGATATGAAGCGAAAATCTATTATCATTGTTGAAAGGGCTAGATCTCTAGAGGTAAAACCGAACCGGTTGTTTTATTTAGTGCTTTGAGCGCCGCTGGACCTAAGCCTCAACCTTATAGAAAGGGAGAAGCCAATCAAGCTTCTTAAGTTGAATAAAAGTACGATAATGAAGATAATAGTTAAAAGTTGCTCCCCTTGATGTATGAGTATTGACTACTTTTCACTCTTCGAGCCACTATTACATTATCAAGCTTCTTAAGTTGAAGAGTACGATAATGATAAGAGATTTTCGCTTCATATCGAAGCAATATTTTGAT